TTAAGATTGAATTATTTTTATTTAATATTTAGTTTAAGTTTAAGAAATAAACTAATAACTTAATGATAAAATTTCTATTAAAATATGCTTATTTATATAACAGGGTACTTTATGATAATATATTAGGTGTGTACACATGGTATTTTTAAATCATAGAAGAAAAAATTTTGAAAAATAAATATTAGTTATTCAAATTCAATAATTTTTCTACATTTATAATACATTTAAAAATCTATTCAAAGATTTTGTAGGATTTTAAAATGTTTTTTAGATATATTTTTAATATTTATAAGTTTTAATAGAATCTTAAAAGTGTACAACAGTAACATCAATTTAATCTTACACGAATATAGTAAAATAAAGTTATTTATCAGAAATTTTTTTTTTAATTTTTACCACTATAATACAATACTGAGTATTTGAATAAAAACATTTTTCAATTGTTCACAATTTTGTTTAAATTCATATTTAAAAAAAAAAAAAATGACAAAACTTTAATGATATCAGTCAATGTTCTCAATAATTTGTATAATTGGTAAGAGTACCTAAACTTGATGTTGAAATCACCAAGAGTGAAGTACAGAAAATAATTTTACTATATTCAATGTATATAAGAGAAACATACTTGTTGCCTAATACTAAACAATAGTTTATAATTAACGGATTTTATTTTAATTTTTAAATTAATCAAATGATAGATAAAATTTAAATAAAAATATACTTATGTATTGCAAGTAAAATGTATGAACATTTTTAAAAATAATGTCAATTATTTTTTTTAATACTTTTTCAATTTTTAATCAGTCTTAACAATAACAGAAATAAACAATAAGCATATATTCACTATATAATATACATATTATTAACATTACTATAATACTTGTCAATACTTATATTTTAATTCCATAAAACTAAATTAAAATGCAGAAAAACTTACCACTTCTTCACTGTAAAGTCCAAACACCATAGCAGCGATACAAAAGAAGAAAATAACCATTATATATCGTGTTAATATTATCAAGTTAATTGAGTATTAGCTGTTTATTTCTTAAAATTAGCAAAACAGATATTTTATTAAATAAGTGTAATTTTATAGTGATAGTAAAATATATTGTAAAGTGAATTTAATTTGTATGTGTATATGCCTTTATAATACTATTATATCAAAATAATGTTATACATAACATTAATAATATAAATAACAATAATTATCAAGCAGAAAAACTTACTCGGATTCCATAATTTCCTGTATACCATACTCATTTGTGTAACCATGTCTTGATTGTAAATTAAGAGTAGAAGTGGAAGCATGAGTAGATGGTGACACTGGTTGGCTATAAGCTCGAGCTGTTACAAACCTATTATCCACACTATGTAACGATCCATTTTCACTTCCTCGGTTAGTCATGGGAGGTGGCATAGAAATACCATATAAATCACTTCCTCTATGGTTATCACCATATATATCTCGATATGGTGAGTAACAATGATCTTCCTCAGCTACAAAATAAATTCATATTATTGAAAATTGATTGCTACATTACAAACTACTTCATTATTATTGAATTGTTTAAACTAAAAAATAAGATAAAATCACCTGTATAAGGAAATAAGTATTTGTCTCCAAGACTAGCTTTATCATCTACATCACCTTCTGATTCAGTCTTATTTAGAGAATTAAATGTTGAACTCTTATGGTGAAAACCAAAATGTTCATTACTTAGTAGAGGTGGTTCAAGAGACATCCGATTATTTATAACGGAATTATCTTGATCAGATATTGTAGATCCTGTCCAACGATGTTGTCCAACAGCATGGTCTTCTTCTTGAACTTAACATTAAATAAATAAGTAAAATGTTTTTATAAAATACATAAACATTTACACAGTAAAGTATAATTTTAAAATAACTTAATTAGCATTATATAAATTAAAAATATATATTGTAATATTTACCTGTTGGATAATGCTGACTAGTCCATCTTGGAGCATACAATGGTTTTAAATTAGGAAACAATTGAGAATTTGTAATTACATTGAGGGATGGAGGTAATCCTGGATCTTCATGTATGTTTGGTAAGAAAGGTGGAGGTCGGTTTGAAGAAACATTACTCCTACGACCTCTATGGCGAGAAGAGTTATCTTCATCACTACTATGAGAAGAAGCCAGGTCTAAACTTCTTCCTTCTCCTGATCCTTCAGAATCTGAATCTGATGTATGTTGAGTTCGATGAAAACTAGATGGTAAGTCAGATGTTGAATGGTCATAATTACTTGTTGTTGTTGATGTATTCCTTAATTGAGTATCACTTCTGAAAGAAAATACTAATTTAGTTAATATTCATTATATTTAAATTATAATTAAATAATAATAATTTTCAGTAAATATTTATTCAAGAAATTTATAAATAATTTTTTTTTTATTGTAAAACTCAATTTAATTAATTTTTTTTAGCTTAATTTCAACATAATTTCAATAACAAATAAAACAAAGCAAATAAAAGTATAATTACAATTTTTTTTTTAACCATATAGTATTATTTATTTATTTTTTTTTAAAAAAAAAAATTCTTAATTTTTCACTATTATCTCATAAGTTTTCATTAATTAAATATGAAATTTTATTTTAATATGCTAATTAACTACTATCAAAAGTGATATTGAATTTAATTAACACTAATTAAATTACCTATAGGGACTACTACTCGTCTTAGTTGTTGATCTGGAAGTGGTACTAGACATAGAAATACCAATTGGTCTTCTAACTCCATCTGGATTTGCAACTCCAGTATTACGATAAGACAATGATGATCTTATAGTTGGAGGCGATACTGCTCCAATACCAGAATCTGGTTCATTTTTTTCAGGTATTTCTTTGCCTATAAGCCTTAATGCACAGTGATGCACTCCACATCGAAGCTTAGCATTGGAATAACACAGACCCAATAGTACAAGCCAACCTTGACTACAAACAGCAGCACACAATGTATATGTAAGTCGTGTATCACGTTCTGATGCTACAACTACTTCTAGTAACCAGACACCAACTAGTATAGGCACACAGATCACTTGTACAACCAAAACACTCCTAAAATATTTAATTATTCGTAATTAGTGATTACATAATTTAAAATTGTAACTATAAATTAAATTATACCTTAGATTTCCGTAACCGAGCACATGATCTTTTAATGTAAACGCTGCTCTTATACAAAGAAGTAATACAATAACAGTGATAGCCACAGCAAGACAAGTAGGACCAATCAAACTCCAAATAACAGACTCATAAACTGATAACCAACAAAAATAGTAATTTCCATATTGGTTTATACGGACTCCAACTGATAAACTGACAATTATAGCTGGCAAAACATAACCAATACTGTGATAAAAACCCATTTGACCATGATTTACATCTCTTAGTTCAGTAAGCATTCGGTATAAGTGTAGAGCAGCCACTAAACACCAACCAATAGTTGCTAACCATAAATAATGCAAAGTTATAGAACAAAATTTACACCATATCTAAAAATAAAATAAACATTTATAATATCAAAAGCTAATCAAAACATTTAATACAAAAATATAAATATATATTACCTCAAAAGTATAGAGAGTTCCTCGTGTTTGAGTAGCAGCCAAATAAACACATTGTGTAAGAAGTAAACATAAAGCAAAATGTGAATAAATGGAACTAGTATTAGTTCCTGCACGCACTGCTACTAATAATACACATGTTACAATAAGGGCAATGATTGCTAATCCAAATGATATCAGAATTAAGAATAGTTCTAGATTTGAATATTCAACTATGTACTAATAAAAAAAAAATAATGATAATAATAGATTAAATTAAATTTTAATTAAATTTAATATTAAACAAAAAATTATTGATAGAATAGGGAAAATAAATTACATGTTCATCAACCACATCAGTAAGAACAGCATATGTTGATAGTTGATTACATGTACAATTAATGTAAATAGGATCCTTTTTCCACCAATCATCTTCTGGTAGTTCTGTATGGCAACCAGCTCGAGTCCATTCACCATTCAGTCTATATTCAAAATAAAAAATATGTAATTTAAAAAGTAATTTGTGTATATAATTTATATACATTACATACTAGGGATAAATAAAGTAACCTTTATTTTTAAAATTATTTAGTGAATTAATTATAATAAAATACTTAATGAATATATATGTATACAAATAAACTTTTATTTTAAATGGGATATTATTAAAATATATTATGTATGAATATAAAATTAGAAAATGTCCATAGTTAAAAATGATTAATTATATGATCATAAATTAAATAATATACAAAAAATTTTTTTTACGCTTGGGAAAAATGATAAAAAAATTAGTTAAATTTATTTTCAAAAGCACCACCAGACCAGTACTAATAATAATTTACTGTCTCAATCTACCAGTTTATCACACAAAAAAAAAATGTTAACAGAAAATCAAAATATTATTTTAAAATTAATATAATTTATCATAAAACTGTCTTGTGGCAAAGTAAAGACAATTGTTGGGTAAATATACTATTTGAAAACTTACACTCTAGAAGTTGACCACCGTACACATTGTGGATTAGATCTTAGCGTTACTGGATTTTTGTTTATCCAAATTTTAATACGAATTGGAGAATCTAAAGGTACCATATCAGATAATTCTGAAATTTCTTTACCATTCACATGCCGCTGTTTTCCTAAGTAAATTTCAAATTTTTTTTTTTATTATTATTAATCAATGTATTTTGTATGAAATTAAAAATCTTACTCTTTGGATTGTTCTGATTTAGAGTTGCAACTAATGAAATAACTGGAGATCCTACTTGAAGGTCTACAGAATATCTTTTTAAAACAGTATCATCATAATGTAAAGGTAACAATGCACCAAGTGTTCGATATTGTACATAGCCAACAACTGCCTCATTTTTAGAAAGTTGTCCCTTAGTTGTGGTCATTCCATGTTTTATTGGCTCAATTCCCAGCAAATCAATGGGCACCATTATTTGAGTGTGTTTATCAAATTTAGAATTATCCAGAAGATAATTATTATATTTTGGTAAAACAACTACAGGGCTACCCATATTTTTCAAACCTAATATTTCTGAACCAGGTTTTAAACTTAAAACCTAAAACAAGAACAAATTAAAAATAAATGCATTGGTTAAAATTCAAAATATAATTAAATATATACTTGTATAGCTGGTTGGAGTATAGATGAGTCAGGTAAAACTACTTTTTCTTCTGTTAATGCAGAAGTAGATAAATCTGGTTGCTCATGTTCAGGTTCAAACCCAAATAAACTCTCTGCTGACACTACATCCAAGCCAACAACTGTAAAGTTTTAATTATTATCGATATTCAATAAAAATTTTTACTGTCAATAATGATAACATTTTTAATAAAAATATAAATTACACCAACCAATATTAGGACTAACAACTTCAAATGGATCAGTATAAGTATCATGTTGAGTAGTAGATAAAGTAGCCACATAGTTATTAATTGTATTCATTAAATTAAATGGCCCTTGTGACGTCATACTATTAATATGTTTCCAATGGTCACTTTCATTTAAGTCTAACAAACGACTTGAAGCCATAATTAAATTCTAAAAATTATATTTTTAACTTTAAAATTAACTCAATTTGGATAAATAAAAATTATAAATATAGAATAAACACTAACCAGTATATAATCTTTATCCTGACTATGTGTCAAATTCAAACCCGACAAAGACCCTTCATGAGATAATAAATGTTGTACAAGTTGTTGACCAATAAGAACATCAGAACCATGGAGAACAGGAGTATTATTGACAGCTTTATGAAGACTAATAGCACCATTTACTGCAACGAATGTAGTTACCTTAATAGATTTGGTTTCTAATCCAATCAACTAAAAATAAATAAAGATCTTTATTTTTAAGACATCCTATAGAGTAGAATTGATAATTTGTAAATTTTAACAAATTGTACTCAATATTTAGTAATTAAATTTATATACTCACAAGTCTCTGAAGGTCTATAAACGAATTTGAAGTACAATTGAAAATATCAGGTGATTGCCATCCATCCAACGTATTAAGACATAAACGTGTCGCTTTGCCTTGAGAACCAGATGGACAGTTTTCAGTTACCATTTCTCCCCATTTTGCTCTAGGCCACCATATATTGCCAGCTGTACTTTTTGGACAGCCATCATATATAACTAAAATACATTAATTAAGAATATTCTTTAAATAATGGTTTACCAATAGATAAACATTTAAATGTAATAATTATATTCACCTTCACATCCATTTAACGTAACTTCAGCATAGGAATTTGGACATTGATCACATCTGAGACCAATCACACCAGGACGGCATTTGCATTGACCAGTAGTTTGATCACATGATCGGTCAAAAGAACCCACATTATAACATCCACATTCAAGACATTTATTAGAATTGAGAGGAGTATAATGATAATCCTAAACAAATATTTTAAAATAACCTATATATTCTAATAAAAATATAATAGTTTTACCTTGCAATAGCATTGTCCTGTAGTTTTGTTACAGTGAGGATTATAACCATTGTCTACCATGCAATTACATGGACCACAAACTCCTCGATGATGTCCCCACCAACTTATAGGACATGACTCTTTCAGTTCATTTTCACAGTAATCACCTGCAAAAATATTCCATAAAGAATTATTTTTAAATTATATAATCTTAAAAAGATAACATACCATTATATGTAGACGAATTACATTGACAATGATAACCACGGAAACTCTTTCGATCTTCAACACATAGAGCATTATTTTCACAAGGATTGGTATCACATACACTATCACAAGTAATTCCCACAAATCCTAAAAATGTGTGTAGTATTTATAGAAATAAATAAATGTTTTAAAATAATAAGTCTTAAAAATAACTACCTGTGTGACATCTACATGTATAATTATGCCACGAAGGAATACAATCACTATGTTTTGGACATTTATTACCATTACATGGATTATCTTGTTTACAATCTTCACTAACACGTATCATAAGTTCAGGAATTTCTAATACAGTAGTTCCTCCACTATGACCAATTCGAACATCCTAATTTTTGATTAGTTTAATATTTAATTAATAAATATATATATAAATATTCAATATGAGAAAATTAAAATACAATGATAACAATAAATGTTCCTGTTTACTTTAATACAGCCTTCAAATCCAGTATTTTCATCAACATTAGTTAAATCTTCATTAAAATTTCCTAATTGAATTTTTCCAATAAATTGACCTTGAAGTTTAGCATTGAGCGTTTTGATGGTAGAACGTATTCCATAATCTAGAATAAATTTTATTCCGCCTGTATTCTGCCATACAATTTCAAGATTATGCCAATCACCATCATTAATTTGCACATTACTAAATACTGCTTTTTGGCCATCAACGATATAAACAATGAAACCACTTTCCAGCTAAAAATGCATACAATTTATAAATAAAAATTAAAACCACTAATTTAAAGTAATGTTTACTAACATAAATTCGAGCAGTAGTATTTTGTCCTATATTCACAGAAATGACTGAAGAATCAGCTTTCTTAGTTTTAAATGATAATGATGTATACCATGGAAATTGAATAGTACGCAATAATGGATTGAATGCTACAATACCGTCACCAGAAAAATGCCAAAGAGCTTGTATGGCTATAACATAATTTCATATTAATATATTATATAGTATGAGAATTTATAATATAATTACCGTGACTACAGTTTTTTCCTCCCCACAATTTGGGACAGTCACATTTATATGTACCCCAGTGGTCAGAACAACTACCACCATTGAAGCAAGGAGTATCCACGCATAAAGATTTGCGTTCTGGACATCCAATGATGGTACCATTATCAGCAACAAAACTAAAAATAAAACAATTAATAAAATAAATTGACATTAAATTTTATATGATATTATTTGATTTTAAGAAAGTTATTTACAGTATTAACTAACCTATTCAAATCAAGAAGTTTATAGTCTATATATAAATCAGCAATGCATCCTATGAAATCTTTACTTTTTACTTGAAAACTAGTAGAATCTGGTAACATAGGCAATCCACCAATTTGAAGGGGACCAGTAAGATCCAAAAAACGATGACAACTTTCAGTTAATATTTCACATCTAAAAATAAAATAAATAATAAATATAATCTAAAATTTTCAAGTACAGTAGAACCTCAATTAACCATGCTCATTTATCCGAAAATTTGTAATTATATCAAAAATAAACAAAGACTGATTACTCCATATGTCAAGCTCAGATAATTTTGAAACATGACAATATGTATTTATATAACATAAGTTAAATAAAAATGAAATAAATAAAAAAAATTAATGTAAATTTGTTAAATAAGGCAATTAACTGTAGTTTTTATTTATTCATGTGATTACTCCTCACCATTACTCTGAATTGTTGAGGTTCTATTGTAAAATAATAATTGTTACCTTTTTTCTAAAACTTGAGTAGAAACATTAGCACAAGAATAACCAAGTTTTGTACCATATTTTATAGTTAATGGAACATCACAGTCATCTAAACTAAGTGTTGCGCTCTAAGAAGAAAATATTAAATACTAATGTAAATGTTATAATTTTGTAAATATAATTATAATATTACTCACTCGATTAATATAAGATACTGTGACAGAATGCCAAAGCCCATCATTTACTACACTATTAGGTGGATATGCAATTACATAAGTAATTTCAGATCCTAAAGAAAATGAAAATTGCATTCCACGACCACCTTCAATAAGTTCCAAGGCAATGAAATCATGACGTTCATTGTATCGACCATTATATAATAGCAATCCAGATTCCTCTAATGTTGCAAACTTTAAGGAAATATGTAACCGATTTCTTTGTTTCAAAGATGGAAAGGTCAAAAATGAAGATTTTGGAAAGCTTCGAGAACGCAGTCTACAAACTTCATCATAGTGTTCGAAAGTACCAGCTGGAGAACAATCATCACACAAAAATCCACCACTTTTTAATGGTGTACAAGTAGCCCCTGAATGACATATTCCTGGTTTGCATTCATCATGGTTTAAGTTGATTTCACAATTGTCGCCAGTAAAACGATGTGGACAAATGCATGAATATCCACTTTCTTTACTTCGACACTGACCTCCATTTTTACAAGGATTAGAATAGCATAAATCCACTTCAGTATCACACATAAAATATTTTTGACTCCCTAATTTGAATATACAGTTAGAATATTTAAAAATATAACAAGTTTAGATTAAGCAAAATATACCAGTAAAACCATGAGGACATTGGCAAGCAAATGTAGTTACAGGGTATATTGGCCTAAACAATACAGTGTCACTACTAATAAATGATGAAGCATTCCCAAACTTCAAAACAGTTAAGCAAAGTTCAAAATTCAAACAAGGTTCTCGAACACACAAATTATCTTCAAACGGTAAAATCTGAAATTAAAATAAATAATTTGATAATTAATACATTTTAAATAAATTAGTTAAACGTAAAATTTTCAAATTATCGAATTAAAACTCATAATTACCTGAAGAGTTGATAAACGAGTAAGTATTCCTCGATTTAAATAAACACGTTCTTGAAGATATTGAGGAGTATAAAAAACTCCATCTGGCTGTTTTGCTGAAAAACTTACATTTAAAACTCTTCCATCAATATCTGTATCATCTTGTACACTGAAAACATATATATTTTCTTTTGGGCATGGAATAATCGCAGCTAAACCAGATATGAAAAATTCCAACAACGGAGATAAAAAAGCTTCTTTAGTCATATCAGCTAATCGAACAGTAACTGAATTAAAAAGCATTTCATCAGTGACTAATCTTACTATTAGAGTCATAGTAGCTTTGATTTCATTTACTCCATCTAAAATAAATATAATTATTTTAACATATTATCCACGTTTAAAAACAAAACAAGATATAAATAATTTACCGGTAACTGATATTTCCATTGAAGCAATCTTGGGTACATTAGTATTTAGCTGAGGAGACAAGGTTAGCATACCAGTTGATTCATTTAATTTGACTAAATTAGCATTATTTCCTGATATTATTCGATAAATAAGCTTATCAGATACATCTGCATCAAATGCAGGAACTTGACCAAACACTCCAATAGGAAAATAATCTTTAAAGTTATTAAAAATGACTTGAAAATCTGAAAGTCTTGGGGCATTATCATTTACATCTGTTAAATATATAGTTAATGGAGCATCTGAGTGTAATGGAGGCGATGAAGCACGAACTACTAGATCAAATTTTTTTTTATTTGATTCATAGTCTAGTTCAACAGAAGTTAATAGTTCAGCTTTATCAACTCCAGGTCTTCTTAACAAGGAAAAACTGCTAGCATCATCTCCACCTACCAAGTTAAATTAACTCATTAATTATAATTATTTTCTTAAAAAAAAAATAAAAATATATTTAAGATTAATGAACACAATATAAAGAATAACTAAAGAACATTATTATAACTGTCTTATTTTGGTACATTTATGGGAACAATTTTAATTCTATATTTTTAAAATTAATGTAAATAATAATAACCTTTTAAACATATAATTTTAAAAGTTGATTAATTAATTATATATTAATAATATAATAAAATCAAATAGGATTATGTTTATTGAGTATTTTAACCTAGCTCTATTTCTTTGGACAAACAGTATTATAATTGGATGTTATTAAATTTCAGTACAAAATTACCAAAACTGTATGATATATTATGTGCAATATATATATATCTAAAAATAAATTTAATTAAATGAAAGAAACTTTTTTTCAAAAGTTGAAGTACTACTAATATATATTATATATATATATATATATATATATATAATACAATTATTTTCAGATATTTATATTACCAATTATAGAATATTGAACAATTGCGTTAGGCCCTTCATCTGGGTCTTTAGCATACAGTTCTCCAACAGTAGAACCTATGGGTGAGTTTTCAGGGATGTACATGACTAATTTGTCAGATTCAAAAACAGGTGGTGAATCATTTACATCTTCAATACGAATAGTAACAGGCACCTAGTAAACATTTAAATTATAGTATAATTTTTCATTCCTTATTATTATTTTATCCACTTACAGCTGTAGAAAGAGATGGTGAACCTTTATCAATTGCAAATACATGAATATTGTATTGAGGAATGCTTTCTCTATCTAAAGAAGTGGCAGTTCTTAGTATTCCAGAAGTTGGGTCAATAACAAAAGCTTCAACACCATCATCTAAAGCATATTTAATGCGACCATTCAAACCTGAATCTGCATCTGATGCACTAACCTAAATAATAAAAATACAATCAAATTAAATATATAAGGATAAAATAGTTAACAGTATTTATACTTGAAGAACACTAGTTCCAGTCAGAGCATCTTCAGAAACTGATCCATAATATGAAGCATTGAAAAACTGTGGTGCATTATCATTAATATCAGTAACTGATATTTCTATATCAGTAGTATCTGAGAGTGGAGGATTACCACCATCTCGAGCAGTTACTGTAAGTAAATATCCACTTTGAACTTCACGGTCTAATGCTTTTGTTGTGACAATAACACCGGTTTGAGAATTGATGGTAAACTCTGAGGCATCACCATAACCACTTGCTAAAGAAAAAGTAATCTAAAGATCATAAAATAGATAATTTAGATATTTATAGTTTTACTTAAAAGTTACTTAATAAGACTACTTACTAAAGCATTTTGACCAACATCACCATCAGTGGCTGAGACAACAAGAACTGTAGAACCAACTGGAGCATCTTCATAAATACTAGCAGTATAGGGTGCATTATCAAATAAAGGGGCAAAATTATTAGCATCAGTCACATTAACATATATTGTAGCAGTATCAAATAAACCACCAGAGTCAGTTGCGGAAACCTATATTGTTTTTAATAACAAATAATTATTAATATTAAATTAAATATGTAATAATGTTCAAATTATTCAATTGATTTCAAATCACTAATAAGTATATTAATTATACAAATAAAAATATCTCCTTAATAGAATAACAAACTTAACTAATATTATCAATTACTTACAGATAAAATAAAACGCTTTTCTTGTTTATAATCAAGTGGTTGAGCTACAGTAACTAATCCTTTGCCACTATGAGTTGCAATAGCAAATCTTCCTCTTAAATTTCCACTAACTATTTCATAATGTAATCTTCAAAATTAAAAAATAAAAGAAGAATTAATAATAAATAATAAAAGACAATTTTATAAGTATAATTTATAATAATACCTTGGGTTCTCATCTGGGTCAGTAGCTATGACAGTTGTAAGTGGGGTTCCTGGAGAGGAGTCTTCACTAATAACAACCTCATATTCTTTTGGATTAAATATTGGCTCATTGTCATTAACATCTTGAATAGTGACTACAACACTTGTTGTAGCGGATTTTGGTGGATCACCACCATCTTCAGCCACAACTTGAAATTGATATTTGGGATTAGTTTCTCTGTCTAAAAGGTGAGTTGTATACACCCAACCACTCTTTTCATCTATAGTTATTGGTAAGTTCTCAGTAGGAGCACCCTCAAAGTCTCTTGGAAATATTCGATACTTTAAAGCACCGTTTTCTCCTTCATCAGCGTCATAAGCTTGAACTCTAACAATACTATATCCAACAGCTACATTTTCTAAGACAGATTCTTGAAAAAGCGAAGTGTAAAATCTAGGAGGGTTATCATTCACATCCTTTACATTTACTAATAATAAAGTTGTATTAGACCGACTTGGATTCCCACCATCTGTAATAGAATACAAACTGTTAAGAAATTATTTTAGTTTAATTTACTTGATTATATACCTTGAGCTCTAATCATAATTCGATAACTTCGCATAGCTTCATAATCCAAAGATTTAACTAGTGAAACTTCTCCATTTTGACTATCAATAGAAAATTGTCCCTGAGTATTTCCACCAATTATGGCATACCTCACAACAGCATTCAAACCTTGGTCAGCATCAGTAGCTCTAAAATTATGTTATATTTTTAATACCTCAAATAGTTAAAATAAATTCATAATAAAAGTACCAAATTAGAGGTAAAGTAAAACTACTCATACATATTTATTATAAAAATTATATAATTAAAACACTAAAAAAATTAACTCTTCTAATTTATCTACAATAGCTATTGATATTTACTTAATTGTAGCAATAACTGGTCTTTGGTTAGGATTTAGGTCTTCAGCAACATTAGCAGTATAAGCTCGTTCTGAAAATTGTGGATAGTTGTCATTGTCATCCAATACTTTTACTACTAATGAAGCAATTGCTGAACGTCTTGGTGAAGGCGGTACTGCTTGATCACTTGCTTTAACCATGACTGTATAAACTTCACACACTTCACGATCTAAATTTCGCCTAACACTAACCATACCACTACGAAGATCTATTCCAAAAGTTTCATCTGCACTAGCATTCAAACCACCACCAGAAATACTTTCAATAGAATATTCAATCTAAAAAAAAAAAAAAAAATACATAATAAAAACTCAATTGTTGAAAAAATAACACATTTTGAAATTATTAATATAATAAAGTAAAAGTTTATATAATAAATCATACTTGAGAATTAAGTCCAATATCTAAATCTGTTGCTCGTATGGTAATAATTGTAGTTCCAACAGAAACAGATTCCCTTACAGAAGCTTCATACATTCCAGAAGCAGACTCAAATACAGGAGAGTGATCATTAGCATCTACCACATTTACTTGAAGTGTTGTAGTTGCTGTAGATGGATGAGATGTTGTATATATAGCAATGACTCGTAAATAATGTACATCCATAAATTCTCTGAAAGTAATTTAATCACACAATTTGGATTAAATAAATACGTTATACTTGTAATTTTTTTTTTTCAGTCTTAAAATGGAGTATATTATTAAAATAGTTGAAGTTACTATATGAAGAATTTAAAAAAATTTTTTACTGAAAATACATTTTTGTTGTAATGAAAATTTATATTATTATACACAATAAATAAAATGTAGGTCTATTATTAATTATTTAATATATATTATTTACCAGATAATAATGTAATTATAATATATAATAATATTAATAATAATAATTTATTATTACATTGATATTTTGCAACTGGTGGCATTATTCATGAACTGTTCACCAGTACTTTAAATAAATTATTAAAATACAAACAATATTTAAATGATAATAAAAATGGTTTTTCTAAACATGAATTAAGTTTAAGTGTGAATGAACTGATGAAAAGAATATTGTTTTTAAATTGTTATGGGTTTCTATACTAGTACTATTATGAATATGAATACGAAAAATAAATAAATACATACCTATCTAATGATACCAATGTTGTGACTAAACCAGAATTGGAATCAATGGTGAACATTGCATGTGATCTAGTATCAATGATAGGACTCATTTGGTATTCAATTGGATTGTTATTCGGAGGCATACTTCTTGCATGGACACTACAAACTACTGTGCCAGATGGAAGTTCTTCTGCCACACTAGCTACATATAAACTTCTTTCAAATTGAAGTCCACTATCAGCCATTTCTACTTCTCTACGTACACGTCCAGTTTCAGTTAAACTTCTTTTATGCCAAAGAATCATCTAAAAATTATTTATTATTAAAAAAAAAACAATTATTTTTAATTGTTAAATTAATTAAGTTACTTTAATATAATGTTCCGAAGGTGACACTATTTCACTATTGACATCACATTGATAAGATATCATAACAACGATAGACATTGGATCAAGTGTTGCACAAAAATTTTCAGCCACCACAAGATCGCCAGATTTTGACTCTACTCTAAATCTATTGTCACTTACATCCACATACCGTACTTTGCAGTCATTAAACACACTTTGAGGAATTACAGAAGGTCCAAGAGGTGCAACAAATTCACTTTGCCGCCAACATTTTTTGTTTAAGTCATCTGTAGTAATACCAAAGCCGGACTTGAGACTGTTGATTACAATTTATAAATTAAAATTTGAACTTTTTAATTTATTTTATGTTAATATGGATACTTACTTTAATTCTGATAAAATAACTGAAACTAATGTTTTACTTGACCACTTTTTGGCAAGTTCAATACGAGAGTTTAATAAAGAATCAATTTCTAAAAAAAAAATTTTTTTAACAATATATTTAAATTAGTATCAATATTTGGCATTTTTTTACTATAAAATAATCAAATATGATTAAAAAACAAGTACATTAATTTAAAAAAGTAATTTCAAGTATTTTACAAATTTAAAATCAAGTGTATTAACATATATTATATATTATATATTATATAACATAAATTATAAAATGGCAACATATAACATATATATAAAATAATAATAAACATATAAAATAGCAATATATAGTCTGAGACTTTAAAACATATGTCAAAGTGAGGAAGTTATAAAATAAATTTTTTATGAGGATCTCACAATAAATCTTATTTTTGTCAATCAAATTACAGAAATTTCCAAAAAAGAATTTACCTACATTTCATAATTAAGAACTATTATATTATCAAGAATACCTTTATAAAAGTATATAATTTAATAATAATATTTATTGAGAAAAATGTATCTATCTCTCTACCTTAAACTAACTGTATAAGAGCACCTAGAGTTGTACATTTTTAAATCATGAACATATTTTCAATTTATGTTATTCATTGGGAAAATTTCAATCTAAGCTTAATTTTGCTTAAAAGTACAAGTAATATAATGTAATGTGTACTTATATAAATATATTATATTACACTTACACTCATTAAATATTAAATTAAAGAATCATAATACATGAATTGAAGAAAAGTGAAATATAAATAAGAAGTATAATAAGTAATCAAATAAAAAAATATAAATTTTTTATATTATATGTAATATATACAAAATAAATATTAAAAGAAATATGAAACATTTACAAATACTTTAAAGAGAAATTATTATACTTCATTTTTATTAAACTGTAAGTAGAAAATTTAATTTAAAACAAATGTTATAACTTTTTATTTCAAGTAGCATCTATGATTTTCATATACTTAGGAAATTCTTATGGTCAAATGAAATAAGTTTAAAATTACAAATCAGTATAATAAATTAATAATTAAAAAAATAAATAAATACTAATTTTGATTTTTTTGGATTAAAATAAAATATATAATTAAAATGTTTAAAAAAAAAAGACTCTTAAACCATTGGTCTTGAGTAATTTCCTTTCTTTTCTTCTTGTCTATGATTAAGAAATCTGGCATAATAAACACAAAACTAAACACAACTGATACTTTTATTATACACTGATAATAACTAATGATGAGACAGGGTTAAAATGCCCAATAAATTGGGTTATACCCAATAATAAGATAATACCCATAGTTATGAATCAATTCATAATTATGCATTATATTTATAAGCCAGCTGGTCTTCAGGTTTAGCATTGATGATAATAATGAATGTACAATAATACTTTTAAAGAGTAGGTAATAGTTGTTATTTATATAAACATGAAGAATTCTAATGTTTTAATGAATCATGTTTTTCTACCATAACTTCAACATGTTATACATTTTATAAGAAAAATCAACAGTAAGTAAATAAAAAGTTTATAAATAGTCAAAGATTAATATTTTCAAAATACAATAAACTTACTGTTTTTATCACAACCCTTGATCACCATTCTCAGAGGTACAGACATGTACTCAAGAGTATCGTTAGATGTAGAATCTATATAGAACGTAAAAACGTCTGGATATTTGAATCCATCACACTCCAACTGCTGTTCAAGTATAACAGATCCGGTATAGTGATCAACGCGCAACAGTTTTGAAACAAAGTCACCACTCTTCTCCGGATTTAGTGCATACCGTCTGGCTGGTCGGTCATAGAACGGAGTGCCACCATCGAAAAGCACCAGGCCCGGCGAGTCGGTATCAGACACCACCAGCAGGTACGCAAACACGCTGCGGACCAGCAGCAACAGGGCCGCGGCTCCGTGTTCCAGCAACATTACGCCGCACAGTCGGACGGCTAAACACTCTAGCCCCGACTGTCCACCTAACTCGCCGCAATTGCGGTCAACCGAACACGGAGATCAGCTCTGCCGAGACATGCTCGGCTTCCATAGCGGTAGCACTTTCAGGAGACGTGGTTCAGCCGTGTTCCATCGGGACGTTTCGGTGTTCTCGCACTTTTACCCGCACCTTTTTGAAAATAGCATACACAATTGACAATAATTTTAAATCTTATCACTCCGGCACACAATCAACAGACGGAAAAGAGTACACTGCCGCAGCAGCTACAGCACTGAGAACGTTCTTCGGTCGAAATCAAAACGATAATGTTAATAAGCGCGCGCGAAAACGGTTAAAAAAACGACGCCGGCGGAAAGGTCGCACTACCGCAACAACGCCACTAAGTTTGGGAACCGTGGTGAACACTGGCCACTGGAGAAAAAGTGAAAAAATAAATATCCGACGACCGCACCGCCGACGCTGCTCCCCTTCACCCGTCCCAGACGAAAACAACAAACTACCAGTGCCGGGACGCGCCAATGACCGCGCGGACTGTATAAGTATTACTACTACACTTACTACTACTACTACTACTACTAGTACTATTCTTACTCTACGGAGTGGTCCGCATGTCTTTGTATTGTGCTGACTGCCGCCCGCTCACCCGCTCGCCCACCAACCCGTTCGCCGATCCCCTCCCGCCTACGCACCGGTCCTGGAATCAATCGGCGCGGTCAGGGGTTCCGAACGTGCGCACCGGAATTTTATAATTGTCCTTATCATTATCCTAATAATGCCGCCCGATCACAAAAGACAGTGAATTCGAATTGCCGCAAGGTGTTCCTTATCAATTAACACAAAATATAAAATCCGTTATCAATTAAATTTTTCTCTAAAGACCGCATTACATTTTTAGACCATATGCTCTTAACTAATATTTTAAAAAATGTTTAATAATTAATACCAACTATAGAACAGAAAATAGTTAATATTATAGACGCATATTTTTATGTTAATAAACAAGGTATACCTAACTACGATTTCCTTATGTTTTTTTTATTTTACTCTTCAGAATGATTTTTAGTAATTTAGTTAAATGGTTGTCAAGTATTGTCTTGCATCTTAAAATATTTGTACTTAACTGTTGATAAATGCAAGATATGAAATTTAGTAGGAGTAAATATGAAATAGATATTTCGACACTTATTCTCAAGGCCATCTTAAGCTATGCAGGGGACCATGGGCACCTGGAGCTTAGGGGTATTTTTAGTAAACCAAAAAAAGGTGAGTAAAAAAAAAAAACTTACTTTTTAATGACTTTTGTGTAGCCGTTAGATATGAGTTATTAATTTTAAAGAAAAACTATTGAAATAATGGAACGAAAAGTAAAATATACTTAATGCAATCGCACATAATTAAGCGTTCATTATTTATTTGACATTAACATTTTAACATTGCTATTTATCTAAAAAAATTTTCTGCAATTAATAATGACTTTTTTATAGGTAATCATATAAATACGTCACAGATTAAAATTCAAAGTTATAATTTATATTATTCGGGGTTCAAGCCAGATAGGGGCTCTGAGCACGTGCCCCAAGTACCATAGGGTAGGTATGGAACTGTCTATCCTTAATTTCATTGTATACATTGTATCCATGTGATTTAAAAAGGATTTCAAAATTTTAGACTTAATTAAAAGTAATTACATTTTTTATTATTGTGAGAAACCTCTTGCTAAAATAGCATACTTTCAGTATTTGGTAACTAAATTATCTAAGACTATTATTAATTTTAGATTGTGAAATTTGTCAAAAACACTATATTCAAAACAAATAAAATAAACTAAAATATATTTTATTTATATACATATATTATTTTAATTATAGCATTGAAAATACAAACAGAAAACACATTTAATAATGCAATAATTGCTTTAATTTAAATACCATATTGTCCAATCACTTAAGCAATAATTAACTTCTTGAAATAATATTAACTGAATTTATGAAAAACAATGAATAATTTACTTACATATTTAAATTTGAATTAGAACTTAACAAAAAAATAAATCGCATAAAATGATTTCGATTTTCATTTGATTACAATTTAAATTTAAATTGATAACGGATTTGTATGTATTGTAACTGGTAAGGAGTATATGACACCCTAGTGGCCATCTTGTAGCCATTCGGATTTGCTGTTTCTAGACGCTTGTGCCCAATCCTGCTTAACCGTCGATGGTTAAAAGCGAGAACCATCTAAGGTGTACAGGAAAATATGTGAGACCTGAGGATAAAGAAATAGTCCGTATTAAACAAGTTTCCGACTAGTCCAGTACATTGCGTACGATATAATTCGTGCTGACACTAAAAACTATTTCTGTTTTAGATGGGCTTACCCGCAGCAAGGTCCGTCTTTGAGAATTTTCACTGAATTTCTATAGGAGTTTAAAATATGTTGACCATAACGTTTAAACATTTGCCACAAATGTACATCGAAGGTTCTCTCTGCTTAGTACCACCAAGTTTCAAATAAATAGTTTCAGAATTGCTGAGTAGTTATTATGAAAACATAAATAATGCTTACCTATTTATTTTAAATTTAGATTTATTAATTTTTAGTATAGGGGGGGGTTGTTTTGTATTAGTATATTTTAGCATACCCAAACTTAACATTTTATGTTCACCTATATCATTAGCCCTTTTTCCTAAAAATACACATATGATTTATAGGTACAATACTACAAATCAAGCACATTGGTTTTTAATACTTCCCCAGTCATCCACAATAATACATATTATATTTTCATTATTTTAAAAAATGTTTGATAACTATAACGGTTTCAGAGTATAAAGTAAAATATCAGATAATTGATGCAGAAATGCGTCTTAGCCTACTTCATATGCACCAGTGCTTTGTATTGAGATTAAGCTGAAAATTTGAAATTTCAGGAACTTGATTCACTCTGTATATTAATTTTCTTCGCGATAGACTAGGCGCCTACTATACTATGTAATGTATTGTTACCAAAGGCCGGAAGTTCATGCAATCGCATGTTTTTACCCAAAGTCCCAAAAAGATACTAGATTAGTTATACATTTGAATCACGTAATTATGAATTCATAGTTGAATTTTTATTTTTACTTCCACATAAATATTTATTATTTTATTTTACACAAAACTTAGAATGTTTAAGAGAGAACGCGATATTTTTAAGGTTTTAAGAGGGAATGGGAAAATCAGCTCAAATATTCTAAAATAACTAAGGAATAACATTAATAGAAGCAATTTTAAATCCTTAATTACATATTAGAAAACACTAAAAATAATATCGAAGAAGAAGTATTGAATATACCCCACGCTCATTTATATTTCCCGCCTTTGGATCATAAATCGTAGATACTTAAAAAATTGAATGTTGCAAATTAACGAATAATTATTATTTTAATGTTCAATTTCTTTTATTACTTAAGTGTACAATTATTTTTAATGATAGAGTTAATTTTTTTCTCACTTTTATTATTATATTAATAATTATAATTTAAATTTTAGACAATTTTTCGAATAAGGTGAAGTAAGGTATTTTCATGGCATTTGAAATTTCGAAAAATTATTTGTTGAGCATATAATGTAATTACCTATTACACAATTGACTTGAAAATTACACTAATCTACACTAAATAGGGAATTATATTATAGGTTGTACAAGTAATATCACGGAAATGCCTGACACAAAAATACCTTACTTCACCATATATAATAATATTAATTGTTTATGATAATTTTTCTATAGTATTCACTCATAGTATTATATTATAGTATTTTACATCTAACATAATTTCTTTTAATAATAATGATTTGTATACACTTGATAAATTTACATACATATAATGGGGAAGGGAAGTAAAAAATAAAGTCTCCTATATATCTGAATATAAAAAATGTAATTTAAATTCTTGAACCTACAGAGTTATTAACTCTTTTAAACTTTTAATGCTTTATAGTTCTATTATATTAAAGAGGGTTCTAACTCTTACGGTCCTCTAAATTAGTAGTTGTTTAGTAACTATTTTGTAAATAGAACTAATAGTTGAGTATACTGAACATATATTTGGATTTTAAATTAAAATAAGATACAAACAGAAATTTAAAATCGATTGTTTATCATTATACTTTTTGATATAGATTGTATTATTCTTATTACTATTTACTATTTCGGGTATTAAAACGCCTAAGACAGTAAGAAGATAAATTCGATTAATGTGATGTAATATATCATGTAGATATAATATTTATTGGTTATTTTTCTATTAGCTAAGTACTAAACTCTACTAACTTTACCAAGCTACTAACACTCTATTCACTAACGGAATTGTATCCATACAGATGTTAACAGTATTTAGCCATTTCCATAGATATATGTTTTAACTTAAAATTTAAAAATTATGATTTGAAAAATAGTTCTTCCCTTTTTTACTACTAAAATTACATATTAGATTTCAATAAGAAGTAAATAGTTTTATTTAAGTGAATTAATAATATAACAACAAAACAAAACAAAACAAATTATATAGCCTTATACCCGTTTAAATATGTTGATTGAGGATTTTTTTCACAATTTTTTAGTCGCATATTTGAAATGTATATAATTGGGCATGCATGATTAACCAATTTTAAGCGCACGAATTTCCGGAACTGAGTTACTATTATAAAATACTAAACATATATTATTATACCGCGCCCATCACTGAAAAACGTGTCAATAATGGAATGTCGATAAACGACAAAATGTGTATGAAAACCGTGATGTATTTATGTTTTTTTCATAATTAGCTTTTGTAACACGTCCCAAAAAATATATATTAGTTATTTATTAGCAGAAGTTTCATTTCTTATGCAAAAATACTAAACTGTAGCAACCAGTACAACAGATCTGAATCTGACTAAGGGTTTGAAGGACATTTAGAAAAAATACTCTCCAACCCATTAAACATTTCCTGAAAGTAATTTTTATGTTTTAAAATAACATATGAAATCAATAAAAAAGGCAAAACAAAAGCTTTGTTTCAATGGATAAAAACTTTGTAGGTTGTAGCAAGCAATATTATATAGTACCTATTTATTTATTTATATTCCATAAAAAAATTAAGACGGCGTGATACACTATGCTAATACGAACGATTTAATGACCAAAATTAAAAAGTTTACCCCGGGTGACGTCATTCACCTTCAAATCCATCACTTACTGACGCAGTATTATTACTTAAATAGAAATACAGTAAGTCCTCGTTTAATGTCGCCTCATTTAGCGTTGTTTCACTATTGCGTCGTAAAAGTTTAAGTCCTTATGTTTCGTTTAACACTGCTACGGTTTCAGTATAACGTCGTTTTTAATATGCGTGTTCATCAAATTATTGTTATATTTGTATAAATTTCATATAAAAGTAAGTAATTTAATATGGTCGACCTTTTTCAGATAATACATAATGTTATCGTTTTTATTGATGTACTTATCATACGAGAGTACAATTTGTATTTGTTTTAAGTAATACTATGTACTTCGTAATCGTTTTTCATTTTATTGATGTTTAATTGTTTCACGACACTTTTTGCAGTCT